CACTAATTTCCCAGTGGAGAAAACACTGGCTGGTTACATTCAATGCTTCTAAAACCAAACCATCACAGCCGATCAGACCCGAACTACCGATAGTGTCGATGAACAGATGTCTCCTCAAGGATGCACTATGCCTTGAGAGAATATAAGGGCCTTCAACTCATGCACAACCTCAAGTGGAATTCCTATATACGATCTATCGCTAAAGATGCAGGTAAAATGATCGACTCTCTGTATCGCTTCAATAAATAGCTGCTTCCTCATGATATCCTCTACATTTATAAGAGCCAGATCAGGACGAAAATGAATTACGGTTGCCATATTTAGGCTGGAACTGTTCAGACCTCACTTTCCAGTCTTGATAGAGTTCAAAAGCGTCTCCGAGTCTTTGTTGCAGAAGAATTATTTTCCAAACTCCAACCTTTTTCTCTCTCACAGGCGGGATGTGGCCAGTCTCTCAATGCTCTATCGTTACTACCGTGAAAAGTGCTCGGACGAACTGCATCTTCTAGTTCCACTAAGTCTGAATTTCAAGGCCAGGACCCGCCATGCGACTTACATAGTAGCAAACCACTCTCGTTCCCTCTTTTCAGTCTTGTTCAAAAGTGTCTCCGAGTCCTTGTTGGAGAAAAATTATTTTCCACCCCGCCTCTCTCTCTCTCGCTCACAGGCGGGATATGGCTATTCTTACATTGCTCTATCGTTACTACCATGGAAAGTGCTAGGGCGAACTATATCTTCTGGTTCCACCAAGGCAGACCTTTACGGCTAGAACCCACCATGCCACTAGTAACAAAACATCCTCATTCCCTCTGAATTCCATCAGCGAGAAGTTCCATTCAAACAGCTACTCCTCGCGAACCACTGCTCTATGGAACAGACTCCCAAGAGGATGTTTTCCCGATCACATTACAATCTTAACCTGTTCAAGGCTAGAGTTAATGGTTATCTTCACCTCCTATCCATATAAACTACTTCTTAACATGAGTCTCTACTTCGAGTGGCCTCCGGGTCTTGTACAGGGTGATCCATACTGTATATATATATATATATATATATATATATATATATATATATATAAATTTTAAATTTTATTTTCATACTTATAATTTTTTATCCTCTTTATTTTCTCCCACTTATTTTTGTTAACTTTTACTATTTTTAAGGTTCAATATTAAAAAATCTGAAACATTAAGTATCACCACAACAGCGACATCAGGCTTATATATTTTTGATTCAAACCATAAAACAGTCAGTCATTTTGAATTCTGTACTCGAAGATTTGCGTCGTGCATGAAACTCAGAGTCGTGCTAGAGGTGTGAGATATATATATATATATATATATATATATATATATATATATACAGTGTAACCCGGATATAAGAGACCCGGATATAAGAGAAACCCGGATATAAGAGAGATTTTCTCTGGTCCCAAATTAGAGCCCATACTTACCTAAACTAAATAGACCAAACCCGGATATAAGAGAAACCCGGATATAAGAGAAACCCGGATATAAGAGACTTCTTCTCCGGTCCCGACAACTCTCTTATGTCCGGGTTACACTGTATATATATATATGTGTGTGTGTGTATATATATATATATATATACACACACACAAACACTTTAAACGCAAACACTTTATAAAAAAATTTAAAATCAAACTCAGCGTTGCTTTGGCGCGTTCAAAAACCAATATCTCATTTTCAATAGCATTTCGGATACAATACACATATATTTTCGATGTCCTCTTATTACTAAGAGAAAAAACAAAAGAACAACATCTATTATATACCTGAAGATGTCTGTAAAGGAACAGACGAAAGCTTGTAGTAAAAATAACAACTAATACGGCAGAAATTTATATAAACAAGGATCAATTCATTCATAACGGATCTGGAGGTTTTTGTGTACTATTTGAATTGTTTGCGAGATGGATGTCTCGCCATTTAAATCATTAACCTTTGCATTAGTTTTGTGTGAATAATTCATGTATTTGTAAATTGATTGCACGTTTATTATATATATATATATATATATATATATATATATATATATATATATATATATATATATATATCACGGAAATAAAATTTATTTCTGTGATTAAATTTTGTACCTACAAAAATCTCTCTCTCTCTCTCTCTCTCTCTCTCTCTCTCTATATATATATATATATATATATATATATATATATATATATATATATATATATATATATATATATATACAGGATCAATACAAATAGAATTTGTTACTTAGCTGTATTTTCGGCTTCCTAAAGCCATTATGATGGAATTTCTCTTTAATATTGTAATTATATTTATGTATTCTGTTTTTTGTGTTATACATTTCTTATCTTTTTTTCATATACCACGACTTCACGCGTCATGTCATTTCTTAATTTATCGCGTCTTCATACGTCATTTCTTAATTTATCGCGTCTTCATACGTCATTTCTTAATTTATCGCGTCTTAATACGTCATTTTATGTTCTATTTTTTATAGTTATGAAATATATTTTGTATTCTTGTTACTAAATTTGATGAAATTTTATGGGCGACTTTTATGGGCTGTTTATCATGTTTAATGCTTGAAATATTGCTAGTATTTTTTACTTAGTATATGATACGTGTTTGCAAGATGTATAATAGTATTCGAAACAAAAGAAATACAAAGTGGAAAATTTATTAATGACGCGTTTCATCGGAAAGAGTATGCTCTCGTTGTCGTACTCGGGTTAGAAAGACAAAACTGTATGAGAAAATGTCTTGGGATCTCTGATGATAAATGTGTCTCATAAATTAAATTAAATTACCTTATATTATCCCCTCCCAATGTTCAAACTTTAAGAGGTTGTCTTTCCGCCCGTTTGCTTGTTTTATCTATATCTATATTTTTGGTATTGTTGGACTTTAAATCAGGGATTGTTATTGTTGTTTTTATATATATATATATATATATATATATATATATATATATAATAAAAAGGCT